AAATAGATTTACAGTCTATTAATAGGCTTGTTGTGCTCTACTGTTGAATCAGGATTGACTCAGCTGACTCTCCAGTGGGTTTTGAGAGGCAGTAAATCACTGAGAGAAGAACACCTTTTTTACTACCATGAAGCAACTAGTGGGTCCAAACTACATCTTTGGGCGGGCAGGGCAAGATCATTAAGCCACCAGCACTCTCTATTAATATACATTCTTAAAAATGTATACTAATGTCTATACATATTTTAATGGAACACTTCATCTTACAAAGTCAAAACACAGAATTGACAGTGACTTGAAACCATTTTCCTACAATTATCTTGTGCCCCTGCTGCTGTTGTTCTTAGGATTAAATAACAAATTTCTTCCTGAGTGAACTTCACCTTAGTGGGAGATACAGAAGGATAATTTCAGCCTCTCTATTGACCTCTAGACCTCAGTCTTCTTCCTAACACAAAACTGTGAGTGATAAATTTCAGATTTACTGAGTGTGTGCTGCTGTTCCTGTCATACTCATTTCTGAAAGTTGAGGAGTTGTTGTTGTTGTTGTTGTTGCATTCCACACCATCATATTAGCGTATCTAGCAGGAGCGGCATCCACTTCCGAGATGGCTTGCCTCTGGAAACTCTATGTACGAACAATGTTCAGGCCGTTCGTTCATAGGGTCGCTATGAGTCGTCTATGACTCGACGGCATTAAACAACAACAACAACATATGTATAATATATATTTCATATATATTAACATGTATTTTTATATATATATCGTAGAATATATATTTTTCTGCACAATACTTTGGAAGAACATTTTCATTTTTGAAAAGAAATTCCTTAGAGGAAAGAACTAGGATTAAGTGGCTAGAAACAGCAAGCTTTCATGAAGAGCAAAATTATTCTCTTTTTTTTTTGTGAGGAAAATACTTTTCACAGGAAGAGATAAAAAAGAAATTATTCAGGTGAATCTTCATTACCATCATACACACTGAAATATATTTATTAACAAAATTTTATATAGGAAATAAAACATAAAAGAATAAATTGCTTCTTAAATTAGTTTAATGGGCTATTACATATAAACTTACTTAAAGAAATAATATCTGCATGAAAAGTTCTAGTATTCTAAATATAATCTTTTATATGCACAAGAGAATAGAAAAATTAAACTTTCACTTACCTTTAAAAGAGAACCTTGAGTCCTAGCACATCTATTTTAAATTTTAGCAATATCAGTTATATCATAATTTTATTTCTTGTTTATTATATATAAAAGAAAAATGTAAATTTTTTAGTATTAAAAATTAACAGCTAAGTAATAAATCTCATACTTTTTTTTTTTTTTAAATCTCATACTTTAAAACTTGATATTAGGAAAAGACTGGTCTCATAGAGACTGGAGGAACCTTCAAGAGTACAGATCTTAATCACCTTTTAATCCTCTAATATCACCTGCTTCCATAGCCAAATATTAAGACAGGCCTGAAAGATGAATAATAATACCAAGGAGTTATATACTTCTAACACAAACTACATACAATCAAGGAGCAGATTTGTATGGAGATAAAGCCCAGAAGGTAGTAAGAATAGGGAAGAAGAACAAATAGAAACAGGAACCATGGAGAAAGTGAGAAGAGAGCTGCTAATATGCAGGGTTTGCAATCAAAGTCATGAACCAAAATGTGTACGAACTATTGAATGGAAAATCAATTCCTTCTTTAAACTCACTCGCTTCACAATGGAAAATTAAGCAATAACATCTCAATGCTAGTTTCTTTCTAGTGAAAATATAACTTACAAATAGTAAATATTTTATATGTGTGTAAATAAAAGTATGAAAGCATATACTATTTAATAAGTATTTAATAAGCAACATTAGCAATTTGTTATTTAAGACAAATACCAACAAAAGAAAGGAAGCTTACAGTGCATCTGTTCAGTGACTTAAAACATTTTAGGTACTGATTCAATGAGTAAAAATAAAACACACATAAGAATTAGGCAAAGCACAAAACCACAACAAATATCAAATAAACAAGAGTTAAAATACAATGATATCACATTGACTAAGCACAAAAAATACACTCATTAAATTAACAGACACAGATTAAGGTTTATTTCTTTTTTAATCATGCTTATAAGTCAGTACAGGACAATTTTTCCCATATTGAGAAAATTTAAATGCATGTTTACAATATTCTTTCTAACATTATAAACTGATTTTATACTTCATTTTTTATTTTAAAATTTAAAACAAGGCTTCTGATATTTCACATTTTTAACTTTATAACTTTGTGAGAGGATTCATTGGCATTAAGATGATCCAAAAGAGAGTATTAACCTGATATGTTAAAAAGAGGTATTCTGAAGCTTGGCTAACAGGCAGCAATACTGAAAGAGGTAAAAGGTTGTATCTGGCTTTCACAAGAAAACTCCAATTCCCTTAAAGCCTTTTAATATAAAAGAGTAATTTGAGGAATAAATATTCTTCATATAATTAAAGAAATCAAGACACCCTAATGAGATATATATACACACACATATACTTTAATCATGTAAAAAGTAAATAAATACGTAAAATTTCTGATATAAAAATTTATCATTGATTAAAAAAATACATTTTTAAGTTTTAAAAAAATAAATGATAATTCTTTCACTAGTGCAAAGATCAAATTCTTCAATGAAGTCCTTTTGGAATACACATTAGTAAACAATGAAGAATTTTGTACTTTAATCTTACTAGTTAGTAATTTGTGGTTGCTATTGTTTTCTTGGTTATTTCTTCAAGATTTAAAAAGTTATCTGTGCGCAGAATTGTAATGAAAATTCATGGTGTGGGTTTTTCCCCCTCACTTATACCTAACAATAACAAAATCATTTACAAAAAATAGCATGATTCAAATACATTGGAATGCCATATTAGATATATTCCAACTCAATATGTAGGCAATACTTAATACCAATAGATAGAGAAATTTGATTAACCTTAAGAGGTTTAAGAAGACCAAACAAAGGAACAAAACCATCTAAACCTGATTCAAAAGAGATGCTTGTGATTTTAATATTTATAACCTTATGTAAATTTTTTTATGTTAAGTTTTAAAAGTGTCACAACATTTATCAAATAGAACAGAGGTCAGCAGGTATTTTTCTGTAAATGGACAAAGATTAAATATTTTAGGCTTTACTGACCATACAGTCTTCATTGCAACTATTCAAATCTGCCACTGTAGTGCAAAAGTAGCCATAGACAATATGTAAACAAGTGAGCCTGGCTGTGTTCCAATAAAACTGATGTCCAAATAGATAGTGGGATATATATATATATGTCATAGTTTACTGAAGCCAGAAATAGGAGATCTAATTAAAAATCAATAATAATAATAAAACTTGGTTTAAATAAGAAGGGAGAAATAGAATGTTTGTCCTCAGAAACAATAGCAATTCAATTATGACTCAATCTCTGATTTGTAATAGGAACTATTACACTTTTCTAATTTGGGCAAAATTCTATGTATGATGACAACAACAACTTACTGCCATCAAGTCAGAACCAACTCATAGCTGACCCTCCAATGAGTTTCAGAGACGATAAATCACACAGGAGGAATGAGCTCATCGTTCCCCCAGTGAGCTGCTGGTAAAGTCAGAAAATTCCAAGAAGGTATTTGATAACTTCATTAGAATTAGACTTGCAAGCTACAATCAATTAAAGGATAGAAAATATAATGCCTACAGTAAGGAGAAAATAAATTTCAATCTGTGATAGATAATTAAAAACAATCTTTTTTACAGTGAGCTCCTGTAATATTTGAAATCTCCCTGCCAGACTGTAAACTCCATGGAAGTAATAAATATGCCTTAATTATTTCTGTAGCATAGTCTCTAGGGTATAGTAGGTGTTTGATTATTTGATCATAAATGAATGTGGGTTTTTAAAGGAAAAAACATGTTATTTCTCACAAAGTGATGTTCCTCTCAAATAGCAAACTTCCTAAAGGTTTTCTATAAAATTATTTGTTTCTTTATATCATCAGCCACACTATTTGACTTTCTGCCTGAACCTGAAATTAGTCTACTTTTGCCCAAATAAAATCTTTATTATGAGATGAAAAACCAAATCTCATAGTAAAGGTTTGAATTGGATAAAAGTAACAAAAGTGCAGAAAAAGGTTAGCTATAAAATGTAGCCATATTACACAAACAAAGAATTATTAAAAATTTCACTAAAAATCAAGTTTAGACACAAAGCAATTTTTTACCAGTAAAAAGTGAATTTGATAGTAATTATTCCTCAAAGACGCTATGTTTTGAGAATATTGTATATAAACTATTAATGCATTTGTCTATGGCTCCAGGCAAAAAAAAAAAAGGCAAATTAAAATACCTTCAAAACACAGTAACTCCACACAGTGGAAGAAATGAATATACATTTAAATTACTATCTAAAAAAATCATACTCTTCAATGAGTTATGTGACAAAATGTAACAATTAATTTACGTCATGTAAGTAAATCTCTCCAACTTTCCTTTGATATAATATTTTCACATTCCAGACAAAAAAAAAATATGTTTTACAATGGTAAAAACAAAGCTTTCAAGAGGGTTATTCAATTTTGGACCAGTTGTTAGACACTGAGACAAAAGCCACATAGAGTTGTAAGAGAAAACAAGACACAGCCTTAATTTGCCACTGTTATATGCACAAAATTTACATTATACATAAATGTAAGTAAAAAAAATTTGATTAATTAGAGAGCAAATCAAAGGTGTTACAGAAAAATATCTTCATTAGACTAGTGCTGTGGTTCAAAGTTCACAAATAAAGAATAAATATATATGAAACTATACTATATATATAAATATATATATAGTATTACAGTACTTGAAGTTGAACGGTTCTGCTTCTAAATGATCTAATTTAACATCATAAATAAGCTAAGATCACCAATTGTCTTCTTAAAAATAAGTCAGACAAAACAAAAAGAGCAAAGATACTATCGTACCGATTTCCATGGTCCCCGATGCCATGTAACATCGTCAGGGCAAGGATGCACATGACACTGGGCCACTTCAGGTGGCTTGTTTAAGATTTCACAGTTTCTCTCTTCTGATATTTGACCATTTGGGAACTGACATAGTACAAATCTTTTCTTTATTCCTCCGCCACATGTTTGTGTACACTGAAAATAAGAATGGAAAAAAATCCAAAATTATGTGATTTCAAAGAGAAAATTATATGGCTTAAAAGAAATAAAAGTTTATCATTTCTATACAATTCTTAATATTGTTTTTCTCCCTAGATAACAAATAAACCAAAGATGCCCATCATTGTGTGTCATTGCTCAAATTCACAGTCATTGAGTCAGACCATCCAGCAGGTTTTCCAAAGCTGTAAATTGCACAGAAAGAGAATGCTCATCTTTCTACCCCAGAGCTGCTGGGAATCTGAATTGACCATCACTGGGTTGGCAATGCAACTCTCTACCCACTGGACCACCAGAGTTACCTATATGTCATTAAAGACTTGCAAATTAAAACAATAAGATACCACACACTGCTAAAATGGCCGAAATCCACTGACAGCACCAAATACTAATGAGGCTGTGGAGAAACAAGAACCTTCAAAATTAAAATATGTCAATGACTTTGAAAGATACTATGGCAATTTCATAAAAAGTTTTCTTACCATGCAATCCAGCAATAATGCTCCTACATATTTGAAAAGCTTTCTTAACACACGATCTAGCAATCACACTAATAGATTTATGAAGTATCTTGCAATGAATTGAAGACTGAATGGCCACATAAAAACCTTCATAATGTTTATAGCATCTTTATTCACAAGTAACTCCAAATTGAGGTATCCAAAATAGTCCTCAACTGTTCATCTATGTAGTATATTCATACAATGAAGTATTATTGCTGTTGTCAGGTGCCGTCGAGTCAAGTATGACCCACACCGACCTTCTGAACAACAGGTCTGAAACCTGACCTATTCTGTGCCATCCTCACACTTCCTGATACACTAGAGCAGCCACCATGTCAATTCACCAGGTTGAGTCTTCCTCTCCTTCGCTGACTCTCCACCTTTCTAAGCATTATGTGCCGAAGTATGTGCGACTAAGCTTTATCATCTTTGCCTCCAAGGAGCACTCTGGCTCTACTTTCTCCAAGACATATTTGTTTGTTCTTTTGACAGTCCATGGAATGTTCAGTATTCTCCAACACCACATGATAGCAGACACCCAAGAGAGGAGCCTGGAACAGTTTGGTTCAACTTATAGCCAAACAAGGTGAACAAAGACATCAGGGAGGTGCTCCTAAAAACAATCAATATACAAGTCCATAAGGGCAGTATTTCCCTATAAAGAAAGCTTAAAAGACAGAAAAGCACAGGATAGAGAGAATAATGAACATGAGAATCTCAAGAATGAAACAGGAAAAGTATTGTTGTAACATGAGGACTGCAGTTAAACAAAATCTATGAATGATTTAACGGAAAACTAATTTATTTAGTACACTTTCACTGAAAGCAAATAGTTAAAAAAATAACCATAAATTCCAGAACTTTAAAAGAAAGACAAAATTGTGACAATTAGTGTCATAAGAAAGCCAGAAACAAATATTATTAATCTTATAAAGTATAAGGAACTTGGGTGGCATAGTGCATAGTATACTGGGCTGCTAACCAAAAATGTGCAGCTCAAATCTACCAGCAGCTCCATGTGAACAGAATAATAGTCTCCTGCAGTAAAAATATATAGCCTTGGAAATTGATGAGAAGTAGCTATGAATTAGAACCACAACCAATAGCTGTAGGTCTAAATTAAGTTTAGCTTCCAAACTGTGGATTACTAAACAAATAACCATTAAAGCAATATAAATATATATTGAATATTCAGTTTATATAACAAATCAGCAATCTAAACCTATTTCTGCAAACTACATGGAATAAAAATCTGCAAAAAATTAAATATAACAAAAAGTTGTATTCCTATTTACTTTATTCATGTTAAAATAAAAATGCTTTTTATTTTGAAAAAAGTAATAATATTTTAAAAATTTATTTAATGTTTGTTAACTCCCATTCCGAGAAATATTTCCTTACCAATTATTTCAGAGCTGTTTAAAAAGAGAAAATAAGTACTGAAAATCACTGAACAACAAAAATGTACAAATTAAATTAGGGAGTTTATTTCATTCACCATGTAAACTAATACAAGTTGTATATATTATCCTTTCTTAAAGTAAAAACTAAATTGTAAGGCACAGGTAACTAAATCCATTTAAAAATTTAGGATTAAAAAAAATAAAAAAAAATTTAGGATTAAAAAAAATTAAAAAAAAATTTAGGATTAATATCTAATGTCAATTTGGAACATTTTTTTCCCTTTGGTTTATTGTGTTTTACAGTTAACTGCATTTATAAAAACCAAATTTAATGTTTGTGGCAATGCTGTGTCAAGGAAGTCTACTGATATCATTTTTTCCCACAGCATGTAATCTCTTCATATCTTTATGTCATATAATAGCTTATTTTTATGCTGTAAGCAATAGAATACTATCCATATGTGCATAAGGATGATTGGATAACACAATTTTCATTCAAATATATGCACCAACAACTAAAGCCAAGAGGAGGAAATTGATGGTTTTTACCAACTTCTGAAATAAAAAAGTGATCAAACATGCAATCAAGATTCATTAATAATAATTAGTGATGGGAACATAAAAGTTGAGAACAAAGAAGAAGGTTTACTAGTCACCAATTATGTACTTAGTGACAGAAATGAGTTTGGAGATTGAATGATAGAGTTTTTTACAACCAATGACTTATTCACTGCAAATGCCTGTGCATAAAAACACAAAAGGTGACTATATACACACACCTCATCTGATGAAGTACACGGAATCAGACTGACTAAATCTGTGAACAGAAGCATTATCTGTGGAGAAGTTCAATAACATCAGTCAAAACCACACCAGGTGTGTCAAGAGCAAGTTTAAAGTTGAAAAAATAAAAACTAATCCACAAAACCCAAAATACAACCTTGAATCTATTCTGCCTGCATCTCAAGAAGAGGTCTGAAGTATTGAACATTAATGATCAAAGACTAGATGAGCTGTGGGATAACATCAAGGATATCATCCATGAATAATGTAAAACGTTATTACAAAGATAGAGGAGGAAGAAAAGACCCAAATGGATGTCAGAAGAGGCTCTGAAAATTGTACTTGAATGTCAGTGAAATGTCATCAATAAACATCTGAGAAATGACAAAGTAAAAGAGATGAATAGAAGATTTCATCAGCAGATTGAGAAGCGAATACAAATTACGATGAAATGTGCAAACAGCTGAAGTCAGAAACTTAAAAGGAAAGAACTCGACATTTCTCAATCTGAGAGAACTAAAGAACAAATTCAAAGCTCAAGTTGCAACACTGAAGGATGCTATGGGCAAAATCTTGAATGACCCAGTAAGCATCAAAAGAAGATGGAAGGAAACCAGAGTCATGGTACCAAAATATGATCAAGAACCAGTGGTGATGAAGAAATTTAAGCTTCACTGAAGGATTTGGCAAAAAAATAAGGTCCCATGAATTGAAGGATTACTTATTGGCCTATTTCTATCAAATAGATGTAGCCTTGGACAAGCTCCCCAGGTTGTGCCAAGAAATCTGGAAGACAGCTATCTTGCTGACTGACTGGAAGAGATATGTATTTTTATTCCAGCATCAAAAAATAACTGATCCAACAGAATGCAGTAATTATAGAGCAATATCATTAATATTACATGCAAGCTGAAAACTCTTGCTGAAGATTATTCCAAAACAGCTAAAATGGTACATTAACATAGAACTGCCAGAAATACAAGCCAGATTTAAAAGAGGTTGTGGTATGAAGGATATTGCTTATGTAAAATGGATCCCATCTGAAAGCAGATAATACCAGAAGGAGGTCTAGCTGTTTTATTGACTATGAAAAGGCATTTTCTTGTGTTTACTGCAACAAATTATGGCTAACACTGAATCACAGAACACTCAGTTGTGATCATGTAAAACCTATATCTAAACCTAGAAGCTGTGTGGTGCAAAGAGAGCAAGGTAACACTTTATGGTTTAAAATCGAGATAGGGATATATTCTTTTTCTGTACCTATTATTAAATCTGTACGTTGAACATATCATTAAAAAAACTGTACTTTATGAAGAAGAAAGTGACATCAGAATTTCAGGAAAGCATATCAACTACATGCACTAGGCAGAAGAAACAACCTTGTTTGCTGAAAGCGAAGAAGATTTGAAGTGTTTGCTACAGAAAATTAAGGACTATAACCTTCAATATGGATTCCATTGTAACAACAAGAAAACAAAAATCTGCACCACCAGGCCATCTTAAAACATCATGATAGATGGAGAAAAGATTGAAGTTGTCAATGATTTAATCTTACTTGAATGAACACTTTGGTTGCCTGCCTTTGGGTTGGCAGCACAACTCCTAACCACTAGGCCATAAGAGTTCCCTTTTACAGATATGTTGTTATGTACTATTAAGATGGAACCAACTCATAGTTGACCCTCCAGTAGGTTTTCAGAAGCAGTAAATCTCATGGGAGTTGATTGCCCATCTTTCTCCTATGAAGCAGCTGATGGATTCAAACTGAGGACCTTTGGGTGGGCAGTGCAACTCCTTAGAGTGTATATAACCTATCTTCTATGATGCGCATGTGCTTATAGAGTTAAGAACATCTATTAAAGCTATGTGACTTTAACCACTAATTAAGAGTTAAACATATACAATGTTTAACTTCTATCCTTCAGAGAAGTTATAATCTTCAGAAGTTTAGAAATACTATTGAATTACCTCTCCCCAGCTGCCATAGTTCCACTGTGGACACGGTCCCAAGTCACAGAGCTGGGACTCTGGAGGCTTGGAGGATGGGGTACAGTAACTGGCACTTTGTCCATTTTCATCCTGGCAGACCACAACTCTTTGCTGAACACCTTGGGCACAGCTACTAGAGCACTGAGAAGGACACAAACATAGTGAATGTTAAGAGGGGAAAACATAGTGTGTGTGTGTGTGTGTGTGTGTGTGTGTATTCTGACTTAATTAAAAAAAAAATCAAGCCCAAATTCTTCCTTAATGGAAATCGCAAGTTGAATCAAGAATAACTGTCAAAAATACTAGAGTGTTATGGGACGCTTCATAAGAACTCCTTAAGTGTTAAGGAGAAATGAATTTGAGTTTCATGGTATTAGTTGGAATAAGCGTAAAACAAGAGCAAGTACTGAGTCAGTTACTTAGCTTTTCTATCAATGCTTTTCTTTATTTTGTGCCAACAGCGGGGTCTAATATGTGAACTGCAATGGTCCCTTTGGCAGTTCAGCATGCTTCATACAGCTTCACCCTTGCTCAACTAAGAATTCTTAGTGCTGATTTTTCACAAACGTTCCTTAAAAGGTTTTCTTTCATTTTTATTACAGTAGACTTTTACTACTATAAAATTGATTTTACTACTTTGCAATCATAATTTCACATTAGTGTATAAGTCAACATTGGGATTTGTCATGAGCATCTAGTAATGCTTAATACTTTTAGGATTTAAATTCTTGCTCTTCATATAAGTTTGGCTTTAAAAGCAATTGGCATCATTAAATAAACAATCCATGAGAGGGTTATAATAGAACGACATTACAGAATTAATAGAACTCAATAAAATGGCTTACTGATCCCCACGGTCCTGTTCTCCACTGGTTTCCTCTGATTGGTGAATAAAGTCCCTCATTTTGATTGTCTTCTGGTCTGTGAGCTAATGGAAAACTCCTGCCTGGAGGGTGGCTGGGCTGCTCCGAAGAACTAGGAGACTGGCCGTACGTCGGCGGGCAGGCTGCCAGGGTACATTCTTGTTCTGTCAAAGGGCGAACTTTGGGGTCACAGTAATCCTCACTAATTGCCTGATGGTGGTTGGTGCATGAAACTTGTCGAGTTCTTTTTCCATTTCCACAGGTTGCTGAACACTGATTAAAAATATAGACAACATTTACAATGCAAAACATCACATGACTTTTTAAAAATATTTCCCTGAAAATGTTAATATTTACAATATCCTTTTATTCTCATAAAAATACTTACAGGTGACCAGCTCCCTGCTTGCCACTCTCCACAAGGGATAAAACACACAGTGACTTCAGAAGGTCGAGGGGAATGGGCACAATACGATTCGTCTGCTATCTCATCATGAACATCACGGCAGCTGACATAGCGAGCTTGGTTGCCTCTCCCACAGGACACGGAGCACTGAAGAAAATCATTATACCATTACACGGTACTTCTCCCGCTTCTCTACTGCATAGCTAACTTCTCAAGTATCTAAAACATCAACTCTCTTGCAAAACTTAGGTAAGAAATCCTATCACCCACAATCAAATCTGACTCAAATAATGAGAGAGGCAGTGACTACATTAATCAGTTTAGATTATCAAACCTATTAATCTGATAGTTGGGAGAATAAGGACAGAACATTCAAATTCTCAAAATGATGATATTATTTACAAAAAAAATAAAGCTGTTGACAATTACTTTATTTAAAGTTCCCTTAAGACATAGTTAAAAATCATGGTATACGATCTAAAGATGTTTTGCTGTTGTTGTTTGCCGTCCAGTCAGAATTGACCCATAACTGACCCTCCAGAGTGTTTCCAAAGACAGTTAATTGCATGGAAGAAGACTGCACATCATTCTCCAGCAGGGAATGCAGTGGATTTGAACCATATGCCTTTGGGATTGCAGTGCAACTTCTTACCACTAGGCCACCAGAGCTCCCTAAGCTAATTATATGATCCCACAATTAAAATATTCATGGAATACGTGAAGCTTAAAATATGTATTCCACATAAAATTAAAACTAAATGCATACTCACATACATTAAATTTGTGAGCTTTAAAAAAACCACAAATTTTAAAAGTTAGTGGTTATATGAATTAAATTATGTCTTGCCGCCATAATATATAGTAAACACCTTAACCCCCACATCTGTCAATGTGACCCTGAAGGGAAACAAGGTCTTTGAACCTGCTATCAGTTAGGAAAAATATGGTGGTACTAGAGGAGAGTAGTTTTAATCCTATATGAATGGTTTCCTTATAAAAGAGAAGATATACTGAAAGAGAGGGATTGAGAAGGACATCAAACAGGCCAAAAACACCTGGAGTGGCCAGATGTAGGAAAAGGGTCTGGACTTTTCTTAGCACGTTCAGAAAGATCAATATGATCAATATCCAATTTGAACTTCAAATATTCTAAACTATGAGACAACAAATCTTCGCTCTTACAAACTACTTAATATGTGGTATTTTGTAACCAAAATTCTAAGAAACTAATACAGTAGGTTAAATAAAACCTCTTAGAAACTTAATATTGGGTCTACTCTTCATAGCAATCTTATAAGTAGTAGTAGTATCTCCATTTTGCAGATTGGAAAATGGAGTTAGGAAATTTCAATTTCTTGCCCAACATCACACCACTCTTAATAGGCAGACTAGGATTCATCAGTTAAAGAATATGATTCTAAATCTCATATTCCTTCCATATGATCAAATTATCTTAAAAAATGAATGCCTTAATTTAAAAAACCCACAGCAAGAATTTTTCTAATTGCTAAAAAAAATTAATACTGAAAACACCACTGATAAGGAGGATTTCCTTAAAGGATTCACTTACTGAGGTCCAAGAACCGAATCTCCATTGTGCTGTGTTTTCCACAGGAAGATAAGATAATGCAGTGGCTCCAGTTTCAGGAATAACTGGGCATGGTGCAAGTTCACAATCCTGTTCAAAAGAAAATAGATCTTATATAATATCAATTAATTGATCACTTTTATATCTATACAATTTTGTATTCCTTTCTTCTCCCACTAAAGAGTGGCATACTAAATTTACCAAATGATTTTCTAAATTATTTCACTAAATGATGAAGTATTGTCAAGTGTGACTAATAGGCACTTGTTGAGTACTGTTGAGCTGGATCCACCCATAGCTGACCCTCTGGTCAGTATGCAGTAAATCACACAGGAGGAGACTGCCCACCTTCTCCTATAGAGCAACTGGTGAATTTGAACCACAAGTCTTTAGTATTGCAGCTCAGTTTCTTACCACTAGGCCTCCAATCTGCATTGTGAAAAGTTGATAACTTTATATGAAAATTGAAAAGCAAAAGAGCAATCATTCTTCAAAATACAATCACCAAACAAACATTTTGAATAAACACAGAATATTACATCTTGAAAAGGGTAACACATTTGATAGATTCATGATATTCACAGTAACAGTCTGCATTATGCAGATGACACAACCCTGCTTGCAGAAACTGAGGAGGACCTGAAGCACTTGCTGCAGAAGGTCAAGGACAGTAGCATTCAATATGGATTAAAGCTCAAAATCAAGAAAACAAAGATTCTCACCATTGGCAGCATCATCCTGATGGATGGTGAAGAGATTGAGACTGTTAACAGCTTTAGTTTGCTTGGCTCCACAATCAACACTCTTGGAACCAGTAATCAGGAAATTTTAAAAGATGAATTGCATTGAGTAAGTCTGCTGTCAGAGACCTCTCCAAAGCACTGAAGAGCAATGATGTTAGTCTAAGGGGCACCTGATTCAGGCCATAGTCTTTGCAATTACTTACTATGCATCAGGAAGGTGTACAATGACTAGGAATGATAGAAAGAAATTGATGCCTCTGAGCTGTCGTGCTGGAGAAGAGTAGTGAAGACACCATGGACTGCTAGGAGAATAAACAGGTCATCCTAGAGAGGGTGAGACCAGACTGCTCCTTGGAGACAAGGATTCTGAAGCTTTGTCTGACATATTTTGGACATGTTGCATGGAGGTTCCTTGGAGAGGGATGTCATGCTTGGGAGGGTGGAGGGAAAACACAAAATAGGAAGATCATCGATGGGATGGATTGACTCAGTGACTGGGGTAATGGGAGTAGGTGTGTCAGAGATAATAAGCTTGGCACAGGACTACTGTACATAGGATTGCTATGAGTTGCATAACAATAACTGCAGAAAGCAGAAAATAAAAAAATGTTTACTTGTGTTGTACTGACTCTACAACGGTATTTAACAATGTGGATCATAACAAATTATGGAATGGGAATCCCAGAACACTTAATTCTGCTCTTGAAAGAAAATCTAGAAGTAGATGAAGAACTAGTTGTCCAAACAGAAGAAGTAAACACTTGGTTTAAAATCAAGAAAGGTGTGTTTCAGGGATATATCCTTTTTCTCCATTCTTAATCAAACTGTATGCCAAACAAACCATTCAAGAAGCTGAACTACATAAAATTATTCCAGAAGCAGGACCACGTGTCATCCAAATTGGAGGAAGATTCATCAGCAACTTGAATCATGCAAATGATACAACTTTCCATACAGAAAGTGAAAAGAATCTGAAGCATTTGCTGCAGAAGGTCAAAGATTACCATCTTCAAAACAGGCAACATCAAGAAAACAAAAATCTTCCCCTCTGGACCAATAGACAACATGATGATGTTGGAGAAAAGATTGAAGTTGTCAACAATTTCATTTTACTTGAACCCATAATCAACATTCATGGAAGCAGCATTCAAGAAGCCAAAAGATATGTTGCACTGGGAAAATCTGCTCTCAGTGATCTCTCCAAATTGCTAAAGAGCAATGATGTCAGTTAAAAGACTAAGGTGTGCCTGATCCAAGCCATGGTATTTTCAATTACTTCCTGTGTATCTGAGATCTAGTGGCCTAGTGGTAAAAAGTGCTGCAATTCCAAATGCATGTGGTTCAAATTCACAGTTTGTCTGCAGGAGAAGGAAAGGTAATCTCCTCACACGTGATTTACTGCCTCTAAAAACTGGAGGTTCATCTATGGGTTGGTTCTGACTCAACAGAATACAATAATAACAACCACTTACTTATGAATTTGAAAGTTGGGACAATGAATAAAGATGACAGAAGAAGAATCAATTCTTTGAACTATGGTATAGAATAGTACTTTATATCTTACACACTGAAAAAAAAAAATCAAGCAAGCCGGTCTTGAAAGAAGGGCTACCAGGATGTTTCTTAGAGACAAGGACAATGAAATTTCATCTCACATACTTTGGGATATTGTCAGGAGGGGCCAGTCCTTGGAAAAAGATGTCACACTGGTATAGGTAGAAAGTCAGAGAAAGAGAGGAAAGTCTCCAACAAGATAGATCGACATCATGACTATAACAAAGGATGGGAGTATATCCAATATTGTAATGAGGATGGCACAGAGTAGGGCAAGGTCCACATCTTTCGTTCATAGAGCCGCTATGAGTTGTAGTTGACTCAATGACACCTAACATCAACAGCCACCTTGTACAATTCAAAGAATGGTGATATACAAGTTAATGAGTGATCTACTGACACATAAAGTATAAAAGTATTATTAAACTTCTCCAACAGGGTAAAAAGGGAAGCCACAGATTGGGAAAAAATATTTGGTAATGATATGTCAGATAAGGGACTTATATCTAGAATTTATAAAATAGTTGAGCCTCACAACAAGATAAAGGTAAATAACTCAATTGAAAAATGGGCACAGGATATGAACAGACACTTCACCAAAGAAGACATTCAGATGGCAAACAAACACATGAAGAAATGTTCAAAATCTCTACCTCTAGGAGAGATGCAAATCAAAACAACTTTGAGATATCATCTCACCCCAGTAAGAATAGCAAAATTTAACAGAACAACAAACAACAAATGCTGGAGAGGTTGTGGATAAACTGGAACACTTATTCACTGTTGGTGGGAGTGTAAAATGGTGCAACCACTGTGGAAGGCTGTATGACACTTTCTCAAAAACTTGTAAATAGAAATACCATTTGACCCAGCAATTCCACTACTGGGAACATACCTAAAGAAACCATAATTGCCACCCAAGCAAATATATTTACACCATATTTATTGTGGCTTTGTTCACAATAGCAATGAGTTGGAAAGAACCTAAGTGCCCATCAACAAACGAAGGGCTAGAGAGGCTTTGGTATATTCACACAATGGAATACTATGCTGCACTGAAAAACAAGGAACTCATGAAATATTACACAAAATGGATGTCTCTAGAGGACATTATGCTGAGTGAAATATCTTAGTCACAAAAAGATAATGATTGCATAATGCCACTGTTATAAAAGTGGACTGACATAGGCATTGGGGGAGACTGACAAAGAGAGGGTAAATAATGTATACTGCATTGAAACAGATTAAGGAGAAAATCGTTTAAAAGGGATATGTGATTAGGCATTATTGTCATTACAGGAGTCCAGAATGAAGGCTGCATAGTGGAGTGGACTTGGGGGAAGGGAGTGTATAACAATGAAAGAATTTTTCTTTTACTTTTCA